CAGCTCATGAATTTATGCATAGGGACCTCTGTGTGCCTGTGTGTGCTGGTGGTGGGGAGAACTGAGGATTGAACCCAGGGGCACTCTGCCACTGGCTGGGTGACATCCTCAGCCCTTTTTAAAAATTTGAAACAGGGTTTTGCTAAGTTGCTGAGGCTGGCCTCAAACTTGTGATCCTCAGCTTCCTGAGTTGTTGGGGTTACAGGTGTGCATCCCCCTGTCTTGGTCCCTGTATACCTTTAGGTGTTTAATGATTGCCAAGTGTGAAAGCCTTAAGTAGAAAGTATTTAAGTTATAAAAAGCAGGAGTGATAATTACTGCCATGCAAATGAAAACATCACCTATTTTTTTTACTGTCTTTAAAAAAAAAAGATTATATCAGGCTGGGGTTGTGGCTCAGTGGTAGAGCACTTGCCTAGCCTGTGTGAAACCCTGTGGTTTTTTTTTTTTTTTTTTTTTAAAGAGAGAGGGAGAGAGAGGGAGAGAAAGAGAGAGAGAATTTTTAATATTTATTTTTTAGTTATTGGCGGACACAACATCTTTGTATGTGGTGCTGAGGATCAAACCCAGTCCGCACGCATGCCAGGCGAGTGCGCTACCGCTTGAGCCACATCCCCAGCCCTGAAACCCTGTGTTTGATACCCAGCACTGCASAAGAACATAAAAAAGTTGTGTCAGGGCAGGAAGATAAACAAGAGGAAGACTGTAGAAAGACTGCAGTAGGCTGGGGATTTCATGACTGAGACTCATTCATGGAATATTCTTTGTATCCATTGACTTCACTAGACACACTTCCCCCACATAGAGCCCAGAGGCCTCTACAACTGAGCTACACCCCCAGCCCTTTTTATTTTGAGACAAGGCCTCACTGGCTGGCCTCAAGCTTGTGATCCTCCTGCCTCAGCCTCCTAGGTCACTGCGATCACAGGTGTGCACCACTGTAACAGTCTGTAGACACAATTTATAAATGGCAGGTAGATAGGTCTCACCTGACTTGTTTTGCAGAAAAAGCAAGGTGAGGGCTGGGTATTGTGGCTTAGTGGCAGAGCACTTGCCCAGCATGTGTGAGACACTGGGTTCGATTCTCAGCACCACATATCAATAAATAAAATTAACGTCCATTGACAACTAAAAAAATATTAAAAAGAAAAAAGAAAAAAAAGAAAGGTGATCCCTAGAGCAGCAGGATCCCAGGGAACAGAATACTTAAGTAGAAATTGGGGAAATTATACTTGATTGGGTGGGGGAGGGTAACCAGCTTCCAGTGTCCTGGTAGAAATTGCTCCTTTGGTATGGCCAGGGGGCATTAGGCAGACCAACAAGTCTCAACATCTTTTTTTCACATTCATAGGTTATCTCCAAACACCATGGTGACACCCCACAAGAAGAGCATGCTGGGAAATGGGAATTATGATGTGAACGTCATTATGGCGGCTCTTCAGACCAAAGGCTATGAAGCTGTTTGGTGGGACAAGCGCAGGTAATGTGATGGGGAACAGCAGGTTGTGGTGCAGGCCTTGGTCGGGGATTCCTGGCATGAGGGGACTGCCTGGGACCTTAAGGCTGGCTGCCTCAGAGCCTGACATGGTTTCTCTTCTGCAGGGATGTTGGTGTTATTGCTCTCACGAATGTCATGGGGTTCATCATGAATCTGCCCTCCAGCCTGTGCTGGGGTCCACTCAAGTTGCCTCTCAAAAGGCAGCACTGGATCTGTGTTCGAGAGGTGGGCGGGGCCTACTACAACCTCGACTCCAAGCTCAAGATGCCTGAGTGGATTGGAGGCGAGAGTGAGCTCAGGTGAGTCCCAGTGTGGCTCAGCTGCTGGGCTTCTGGTTTGCTGTGTTGAGGGAAGTCAAGCTCATCTTTGGTTATTTGACAGAGGAAATGAAATTCTTATGTGCTCAGAGCCTCTCCCTGCCTTACTTGGAATCATGGGGTCTCAGACTGGAAAGGCCTTAACAAGGAATTTTGTCCCTTTGGTAAGCAGGGTCCACAGCCTGGGGTATTGGCCTTCTGGTCTGGTGGGGCTGGTGAGGTAACGTTCTTTCYGCCTGCACCACTGGCACAGTGTTGTTACCAGTTCAGAGAAAGGAAGATACACATTCAGCCAGAGGGTTAAATTGCCCTAAGATGAAAGTAGTTGGTTTTTTTTAAACAGAAGCACTTCGGAGTACTTTGCGCTTCTGTTTCTCGCCGAACCAGTTCCTCTCAGCAGTAATGTGAGGATGAGCAAAGATTCAGATTGGGATTTGAACTGGACAGACTTAGGGGTAACTCTAGAAGAACCTACTAGAACGTGTTAGGATTGCCAAGGGCATAAAGGATCAGGTGTCTGGTGACTTGTGGCCCTGAGACTGGAATTTGCAGTTCACCAGCATTTCGTTTTCTCTCACCTCTTCCTTTTTCCATAGGAAATTTCTAAAACATCATTTGCGAGGAAAGAACTGTGAGCTCCTGCTGGTGGTAGCAGAGGAGGTGGAGGCCCATCAGAGTTGGAGAGCTGACGTGTAGCACCGCTAGGTCCAACCCGTCCCTGCCACGGTCCTCGAGCCCTCGTGATGCGCTGTGGCCTCTGCAGTAGGTCCGCCCTGCCACCTCCCCAAACATCTCATCGGGTTTCCCCTTCAGACTTGCCAGTGCAATAGGACGGATGTGTGGACTGTTACATGAACCCCCGGCATTGTCTGTGCCTGGGGAAGGCAGGCAGGAGCTCTGAGGGCTTAGGGCAAGCCACTGAAGGCCTTCGTTTTATTTTGGAGAAGAGAAGGAAAGGTGGGTCCGAGCTTATTTTCCCCTTTCTATGAGGACCTGACACAGGTTTTCTTGGAGTCYTCACTGCTGCTCCAGGCTCACCAGAGATGCTGCCTCCACTTTTGTCTCCTGTGGCACCCGTGTCTGAAGACATAGTAGTACACGCAAAGCCCAGTGACTGACTGAAGAACCCAGAGCATAAGCGTCTCTCAGGAAACCATCTCCAGAATCCCAGCAGCAGTGCTGCGTGCTGTCTGCAGTCCTAATGCCACCCCTCCCCCCACTTTTGAGGGTGGTTTATGGACAGCCTTGGAGTTTTATAATGAAAACTTCTTGAATATCCCAAGCCAGGTGGTTGAGTCCCCCAAGTCTAGCAAGACAGTGGTAGGATAGACATCTAAGAGGATGTGGCTAAGCCAAACTGGGAAAAGCATGGGGTGGCTTTCTTCACTCCAGTTTTGTCCCCACCATTTCACTACMTTGATTTAGGAAGCTCTGGGGCAAAACATAAGGAAAAGGGGCAGTTTCCCCAGTTGGCCCACTCTGGCAAAATCAGAAGAAACATCTACCCTTGACAGGTTGGGTCAGCCAAAATCACGTGAAGAGTTTAAGAGCAGGTGGAATTGGTAGCTGGCCTGGGCTTGAAGCCTGTCACTGTAGTGACAAGCAACAGCCCTCAAATTAGGTGGTCATGTGCATTTTGTTATAGGACCTAGGTTTGTCATCTTCTTGTAGTTTCCTTAAAAATCAGAGGATTGACCTGCCTCCTACCTCTTGAAATAGTTGTAGGCTACTTTTCTCTTGTAACTTTGGAAAACAAGAGGGGAAATAAATAATACCACACGTGTCACCAAAGTGGCTGTGGTTGCCTCAAGACAGGAGGGCAGRCAGGGGTAACCTGGCCAGTTCTTACTGATCACTGGTCTTGGCAGGTCTGAGAGCTGCCCCATTGGCCATACTTCTCTCCACCAGAAGAGCCAGCCTGGGGCTTGCATGTGGATCCTAAGCAAGTGTAATGGGGAGGCTGAGGCGCTCTCCCCACTGTGACTGGAGTGCATGTTTACACCAGCACTTTTCTGCACACATATCTTCAATCCAACAAGGCCGTTTTTTAAGCCAAGTAAGAGGCCCCAAGCGGCTACTGCACATTATGCCCTCAGCAACTGGCCGTGGTCTCTTCTGCACCATTTTCTACACCAGACCTGCTTGGCACCACAGGGAGCTCTCTACCCCTGCACAATGACATTCCAGCTAACACCAGCCAGAAGTTACAGCCAATCTTGCTGATTAATTGTCACAAGCAGGACCTTGGGTCCATTGGCACTGTTGGTGATTGCAAGCCATTTCCTGGGAAGAGGAGAAAACTTCCCACAAATCTGCTTGGGCCTGTGCAAATGGCACTTCAAAGTAGTCCCATGCACACGGAGTCCATGAGCCAATGGATATGCAAAGACGCTTCGACTTTTCAGGGCTGGTTTCTCTGTTCATATCCAATTCTGGTGCTTAGGAACAGGGTCCCATGCTGATCCCCAAGGGCAAAAAGCCCCACTTTTAAAGAAGGGAGCAGGCCTGACCCTGATGCCCCACAAGGGGCAACCYTAGGCTTTTTCTTGCTTTTATTCCCCCCGCCCTTTTTTTTTCTGTTGGCCTTGTGCTGGGTTTGTTTACAAAAGATGTATTTTGTTTAACCAAATATTAAAAATGGTAAACTCCATACACGAATCTCCTTGTCTGCCTAATATAATTATAAGAAGGGAGGGAAAAAAAAAACAAAACTTTAGTATGATGCAGCTTTAAAAGGAATTCCTTACCATCATCTCTCCACTTGGAGATATAATAGTTTGATCAAACTTCACCAAAAAATACAAAATATTCTCTTAAGTGGGATTTATTTCAAAAGTTACCATTGAAGCATTTTTCAGTTTAATGTTAGGATTGCCAATTTGAAGAACCAATATACAAAACACAACTTGTACCTCACTGACCAGCTTTTGCACTAGTGAAGCAAAATATGCATCCAAGCCAAGGACATGTCTAGAGTGTGTAGCAGGATTCAGTAGTCAGGAGGCTGGATTTGAATCCAGATCCAGCACTTATTATGAGGCCTGTGGATATTACTTAATCTTTCCATGGCTGTTTCCTCCTTTGCAAAACAGGAATACTGCTACCTCCAAAACTGCCTAGTACTGAGAAAAAGATTCACATCAAAGACTCTGTTTTATGCTCAAAAATTTTTTTGTTAAATGGAAAAACTGCAAAGTTCAAATATGGGGCTACAACTGACTTCATCATCAGTTTCTCCAATCACTAAAGCAGGCACAAAAATGTTCTTTTTCCCAACACTAGAAATCAATACTTCCTATAAGTTTATAACTGTGAAATGTCTATAGACTACGAAAACACTGGTCTGACCCTTTGCTTAGGTTGGTGGAACTGAATTGATTATTTTAATTCAGTGCAAAGTTGTCATTAAGAGGTTCTTGGCAAACAGTGCATTTTCTTTTTCAAAATTTAACTAACTTTAGGCCTTGAAATTATCAGTGGAGATGGAGATGCCAGCTTAGATGAGAGGAAATGTGAGGCATTGTATATCTTTGACCTTCAAAAATGGTACAAGTAACTTTTAAGTACTTATTACAGACACATGGATGACACTTTGAGTTGGAATCATTTTTAATATTTAAATACAAAAAGTGAGCACTGACTTTTTTTTACACACAGGTCTAATAGCCAAAATATGCAGAGGAAACGAGCCTCTGCTCTGTCCTCCATACTCACTGTCCCTATTTTGTGGCTGAAGCTATAAAACAGCCTCCCTTCAGTATACATGGGGCTTCCTGGTGCTTTACAAGACAGCCACAGTGCACTTTGTCAGTTTTAATAATAATATGTGCATGTTCCTTCCCAACATCTCCTTTAAAAAAAAAAAAAAAAAAGAAGAAAGAAACAAAAGTCATTAATGGTCAGGGATCCTTTCCTCCCATTGTGGGGCATCATTTCTACCCCATAATGAGATAGACAGTGAGGAGATCTTCCAGTTAGGAGCAATGTACTAGAAGGGGTAAGGTGGCCAGAGCTGGAATAACCGTCTGCATAGCTGCATTCTGGTATCAGAGCGAGGCAGAAGAAACATTGAGGACAGCGTGGAGGGTACAGTTGAAAGTTGGGAGTCTTTGTGAGACTATGAGGGGAGAATTCTTCCCACCAGATTTGGATCAGTGTGCCACAGTTAACCCCCCGCCCCAAATAATCAGCAGTTCAAACATAATTGAATTTCAAATTTCTCCCATTGAGACAGCTCAAATATAGCAGTAACAATCTAGATCTTTCCAGGAAGTGAAGGCAGAGCCCCTGGCATTCCTCCTGACAGCCCTGTGTTAGGCCCTAGAAGTATCTGGAAAAGAAAAGGAGAGATGTAAGGCATTGTACAGGCCTAGATGTCATTTTCATGGTACCTGATGAGGCAGACAAAAACAATGCTGAGCACAGGCATCTAAAAGGGCCTGGGCCTAATCCCAATCCCCACCCACACAGTAACTGCTAATCTGTTGGTGCTGGAGAAATAAATAACTAGTGTCTCCCCCCTGGCAAAAAGTCAAGAGTTTGGGTTCACCTGCCGCTGTTGCAGTTGCTGCTGTTGCTCCATTTGTAATTTCTCAGTCTCAAAGACAACAGGAAGAACCAGTATCATAAAGGAAGTGGTCCCAATCCACAAGGCTGCCCTGGAAAACCTGCAGAGAGAGGGTGGGCAAGCAGAGAGAGAAGCAAATAGGCAATAGATTAAGAACAAAGCAGTAACCAAACCTCTTTCACTATATACTCCAGTGCTTTTAATGTGTATTCTACCCACTCCTTGCATCATACTCCTCCTACCAGGGGCAGGAGGAGATTTTTCTGGGAGTTAGCTATAGCTGCTTAACAATCTTCTGAGTTCTTATAAAGCTACTTATACATCAATCATCTCAGATAAACTAACAACCTTGTCAAGTAAGAACCCCGCCATTACAGAAGAGAAAATTAGAACTCAGAAAGGTTAGGGTACAAGCAGTCCAAGGTCACTGGAACCCAGATCTGCTGCTTCCGAAGTCGGTATCTCTTTTCTCATAGGTTCAGACATCCCATGCACACCCCGCAATGTCTTTGCCCTCTCGTCCCTTACCTGTACATTTTTTGAGCCACGAAGAGGGAGAGATCAAAAGTGGCTCCGGCCGCGGACCGGACCCTCTCCGGGAACATCTCCGTCAGACCCCAGAGTCTCTCAGACAGGGTCTCATCTAGCTGTGGTGAAGGAGGTGCGGGTATTGGCCGAAGTAAGGGCATGCACCTGCGGCCCGCTGAGACGTGGGAAGACGCGGAGGCCGGCAGAGCTGCAGCATTCCCGGCCCAGCAGGGCCCCTAACCCCGCCTCCCGAGAAGCCGCCTTCGCGGGGATCCCGCAGCACGCGGATCCCACTCCCCGGGGCGGGCCCGCTCCTTGCCCCGCACCCCGCAGGGCCCTAGTACCTCGTCGTCATCGTCCTCTTCCAACTCTTCCTCAGTTTTCTCCGCGTCGCCTTTCGGGAGCAATTCATCGGGGGACAGCGGCTCCCCAGCGCCGGCAGCAGCAGCGGCGGCGGCAGCCATGGTGTAGGGGACACCGGAAGCGGAAGGGAGCAGTCGAGCTGGGCCCCGGGATGGACAGAGCGGCCCTTCCGGGAACGAGCAGCGTGGGGTCGGGAGAGAGCGGCACGTCCTGGCCGGTCGTTTTTCTGACTCGGCTCCGGGTACTGCAGCGGCGGCGTTCCCAAACCGTCTCTTGCCTTATCCTGGGGGTTCTGACTTCAGAGGGCCGAAAAAAACGCTCGGAAACTTTAGAAAAGCAGCTCCGGGTACTTCTGCAGTAATTTTGCGCAGTGATTGGGAGTGGACCCAGAAACCTGCGAGTGGACCCAGTTTAGCAAGCCTCCCTAGGATCACACTTCGAGAAACACCAGCCCGGTTTCATTTTCCTTGGGGGTATGCTTTTTTTGATAGGAATAAGCGACTTGGAGGTTTGTTGTCTTTGGGGAAACCATCAATTAAACCGTTTCAAGGTACTAAACAAAGGTAAGAGGGAAGGTAGAGGCGCCAGGTCCTGCGCGCGCATGCGTACTCTACAATCTTCGCCACCGTTGAGGTAGGCGCTGTAATCTCAGTTTTTAAAACCGAAGAACTCGGGGTTGGGGCAGTGTTAGAGTACTTATTAGAGTGCATCCGTAGCATAGATGAGGCCCTGGACTCAACCTCCAACACTGCAAAGAAAATTTTTAAAAAAGAAGGCGGGAGAAGGTGCAGATTGCAGTAGTGGGGTGCTGCAAAGATTTCTAGAGGATGGGTTTCTAGAGTTGGGCTTGCTGGCCAGAGCGTATATATATTGAAGTTTTGCTAAATATTAGTAAGTACCCTCCAAAGAACTATATCCTATACATTCAAAACAGTAACAGGAGAGGCTGGTGGGGCTCAAGCCTGTAATCCCGGAGGCTCCAGCTTAGAGGCTGAGGCAGGAGGTAAGAAAGTTCAAAGCCAGCCTTAGCATTTAGCTAGGCTCTAAGCAGTTTAGCGAGACCTGTCTCAAAAAAACAAAACAAAACAAAAAATTAAAAAGGGGTGGGGATGTGGATCAGTGGTTAAGCACCCCTGGATTCAATCCCTGGTACAAAACCAAAAAGTAAACGGAAGTGTCCTATTTCCCACACCCTCCCTAGCATTAAATATTATCCATGTTTTCTTTTTGTGTTGTGGGGGGGAGTGGGGGGGTGTGGATACTAGGGATGGAACCCAGAGGCACTTTACCACTGAACTACAGGGTCTAACTAAGTTGCTTAGAGCCTGACTTAGTTGCTGAAACTGGCCTTGAATTTATTGTCCTGCCTCAGCTTCCTAAGCAGCAGGGATTACAGGCATACCATATTTTAATTTTTTGCCTCTACCATGAAGGTAAATGCTTCTTTTTATAATGTGCCCCCACAAATTATTAATACAAGGATTATTTGTATATATTTAGCCAACTGACCTAAATCACAGACTCTGAAGTTTGGATAGCCCAGATCCTTATCTGATCCATGAAAATGTAGTAATGAGTCTTTGTTGTATGCTTACATACTTTGGTGGGGCTTGGAGGCTGGCAATACCTCCTGATACAGTCCTCAGGCTTTTCATCCTTGGAAGGGTATTTCTGAGTAAGGTTTTTCTTTTCTTTTTTGGTACCGGGATTGAACCCAGAGGGGCTTAACCATCGAGCCACATTCCCAGCCCTTTATATTTTGTTTAGCAACAGGGTCTCTCTAAGTTGCTTAGGGCCTTGCTAAAATGCTGAGTCTGTCTTTGAACTTGCGATCCTCCTGCCTCGGGAAACACCTAAGCCACTAGGATTACAGATATGTGCTGACTATAAGGTATTCGTGTCACAATGGTGAGAAGTCAGAATATTGATTCCTGTTGAAAGGATAATATTTGGGAAAGGCAGGAGTGTAGCTTCTGGCAGTTGGGAAGTTTCCGTTTCTTGAACTGGGTGATTGGTACATTGGTATGTTCATTTTGGGTAATTCATTAAGCTGTACACTTAAGAATTATGCTCTGGTATGTGTGTTAAATTTTTTTTTTTAAAGTAGGCTAGCTATATAATTTTGAGGGCAGCTTAATAGCTCGGTGCCCGTGGTTTTTTAACTCTTTTATGGATTCTTTTAAGAAATGCTAGCGCTAGGAGTAGCTCAGCATGCATGAGGCTGTGGGTTTGATCCCCAGTATTTCAAGGAAAAAAAAAGAGAAAATGCTAGATAAATACTGTTGAAAGTAAAGCAGGCAGAACATGGATGTGAAAGGCACAGAACATGGATGATTTCAATTACAAAGTCATTCACAAAGCTAATGTGAAGAAGTTTCAGGAAAACCAATTAATTTTGTTGATGTTTACAAAAAGCAGTACATGATTTTTTWAAATATTTGGTTTTTAGTTGTAAGTGGACACAATAAACTTTATTTTATTTTTATGTGGTGCTGAGGATCCAACCAGTGCCTCACGTGTGCTAGGCTAGCGCTCTACTGCTGAGCCACAACCCCAGCCCACAGTACATGATTTTTTTTTAGGTAGTACTAGAGATTGGACCTAGCTGTGCTCTACCACTGAATTACATTCTCCATCTCTTTTTGAGACAAGAGTCTTTCCAAATAAGTAGTTTTAAGTCCAAAAGAGCTCTTTCAGTTATAAAATTGCCAAGGGATAAGAAGACATTGGGAATCATGCAGCTCAGTGCTTAGCCCTCTGGGTGGAAATGAGATGATGCATGAAATGAGAGAAAGCAGCATAATACAGAGGACAGAGCGCTGTGGAAGGAATAGTGAAAGGCTGGCATGGGGAGGACACGGGGAATGTGACATTGCTGAAGATTTCCAGGAGAAATGCTCAGCAGCAGATGCCACATTTGGTGAGACTATTGCCAGTTAGAGGTCACGTCAATGGACAAAGGAACGGTAAGGGTGCTTGCAAGCAATGGGTGATGCCCCATGCTGGAGCCAAGGGAATGCAGCCGTGGTGGGGTGTCCTAGAACCCTGGGTTCCCTGGCTCTTCTATCCCCCAACCCTCAAGCCCATGGTTTACACCTTTCCTGTTTCTGTCCTGCTGAAATTTGAAACTGATGATATGATAGTTCTTAGTAAGGGTAAGGGGTGGGTTTACAGTCCTTTTGAAAAATTCTTATTATTTTTTTGGGGGTACTGGGGATTGAACTCAGGGGCACTGGACCACGAGCCACATCCCCAGCCCTATTTTGTATTTTATTTAGAGACAGGGTCTCACTGAGTTGCTTAGTGCCTCAGTTTTTGTTGAGGCTGGCTTTGAACTTGTGATCCTCTAGCCTGAGTCTCCCCAGCCACTGGAATTATAGGTGTGTGCCATGGTGCCGGGCCCTTTTGAAATTTTTATAAAAGTTGTACGCCCCTCTCATAAATATGCATGTTAGGCCTGGGATGTACCTCAATGGTCGTGTGCTTGTCTAGCATGCATGAGGCCCTGGGTTCAATCCCCAGTATCAAAAAAAAGAAAAAGCACATTAGCTTGTGTCTCCATAATGATGCATATGGACTGTCTTCTAGGACTCACACTGTAAGATTTCCTCTAATTATTGCCTCTAATACTGCACTCACTGCTCATGACCACAGAACTTTCTATTTTAGCTCTTCAATGACAGTCCTTCCCTAATTCAGTTCACACAAAAATTCACAAAATTGTTACAGTAATTAAAGTGGCAGTGTCAAGGAGCTAGCACTGTTTTACTTGGGTTCCCCATAACTGCTAGATTTGGTTAAGAAAGGCTCTAAAGGGGAAGAATTTTAGCCAGAACCTGAAGGACCTGACTAAAAAGGTAAGATCTTGGAAAAATATACTGTCTCAAAAGGGGAAAAAAAAATTTCCTGAAGGAAACAGTTCTGGGTGATGAGATGTGGGTGGTTTTTTTATTTTAACAGGATCATCCTTGACATCACACTCTAACTCCCATCAGCAAACACTTGGCTTCACTGCAGGTCCTATCTAGAATCTGACTGTGTCGCCTCCTCTATGGCCACCTTGCTGGTCCCAACCTGGCCCCCTTCAGCATGCTTTTAGCACACAACAGCCAGAGATACCAGTTGGATCACAGCATTCCTCACTCAACCTAAGGCCTTCAATGCCCCACATACCACAGGGAGTTCTGGAGTCCCTGGATTAGCCCCTAAGGTGCTGCAGGTGATGCTGCTAGAAGGACCCACAGCACCATGATGACCAAGTAGGCCCCAGGATTCCATAACTTTCAGTTCTGCTCCATCCCTTCTAGCTGTGTCACTTTGCTAGGCTGGTTTCTTTATCTAAAAAATGAGATGTGCTGGGCAGCGATATTAGCAAAACCATATTGTTTTATCGTGTGCAGGTCCAAATATGTAAAAACAAGTCCCGTAATGCACCATTAAAAAATGCAAAAAAAAAAAAAACCTGATAAATTTGAATAATGAATGGTCACAAGAATGAGAAAAAGATGTCTGTGATGGAGGGTGCTCATTGAAAGGCTGCCCAAGATCCAGGACTGGACCCACACAATCTTAGTTCCTCCTATAATCTATCCTTGAAAACATACACCCTGTGTGTGTGTGTATCCATCTCTAATAAACTTTCTCTCCTGTATCAGGAAGTGAGATTAGGCTAGAGCTAGAAACCATCCTCTTCTGTCCACCCACCTCACTCTGCTGGCTAGAGTGTGCCAGCAGTTCTTGCTTCACAGGCTGAGGGGAGATGAGACAGTGTGCTGAACCCAGGGCCAGGAGTGTGACGGTCCAGATCTGCCGACCTCAGCCCCAGGTGTAAGCCCCTGCTCTGCACCCCCCCCTGTTGCCAACTGCTTCACTTCAGGAGCTGATTCCCCTCCACAAGTCCAGCTCAGGCCGACACACTAATTCTTGTGTTAACCACCAGTCCCTGCCTTGTCCCAGCCAGTCCCATTTCTCCAAGGCAAAATGGCCAAGAGGGCAGTTTGAGCAGAGAGAGACCATTTCTCCAGGTTAGCCTCCACTCGGGCCTAGGAAAGCTGGAACGCTGCCGTTTCCCCACACCCTGAAAATTTCGTCTTTCAGTGGAACAAGATTAGACTCCAGGCTCATGTACTTCTTGAGGAACAGAGGCTGCTTTTTTCAGTCATTTTGGCCACAGAGACATTTAACACTATTTAATAAAAAGAAGTAGTGTAGACAGGAAGATAGCACAAAAAATAGTGTTGCCATGAGGACTAGCTTTTGATGATGGGAAGCTGAAGCCAGAGGAGACCACGGGTTGGGGGATGAGCATTCTTTGAAGGCAGGTGGCCTGCAGGCCAGAGAACCAAGTGAGCTGCTCATCCCAGGCCCCTGGATATCGGGCTCGTTGGAACTGGTGAGTATAAGGGGATGAGATGTTGAAATCCAGCTGCTGCTCCCCAAAGTGTCTGTCCAACAGAATGACTGGGATGCAGGTAGCTGTATGCTCACGTGTGGAGGGCACCCAAAGGCTTGTCCTGCCCTCAGAGCTCCCCGGGTCTGCTTGTGGTGTGGCATCCCTAGGCAATGTGCCTGGTGGGCCTTCCCAGCATCTGCCCTGGCCTGGCATCTTGGCTTCCTCCATGCACCACCTTCTGCCAGCCCAGGAGTGCCAGTGCCTTCTCATGTTCTCATCCAGGACCAAACCCATTGGTTTGGCTAAAAAAACAAACTACTCAGCCACATCCTCTCCCCTGGTCAGTGGGATTCTCCCCGGTCTCCTGACACATGTCTCTGGGTCTTCATTTCCTCCTTTGGCTGATACTCTTCAGTTCATCCAATTCTTTCTCCATTAAGTGGGATTCAGCAGTGGTCTCAGAGAGCTGGAAGTCAAGCAGCAGCAGTTACAAACAAGTTTCTGGACCATGTTTGGGGTCTGAAAGGCCACTCTGCACTGAGGAAGGGCTTCCTGGCATTCCTCTAACACTGCTGGCCTCTGTGATGGGAAGCCCTTGGCAACTGGGCAGATATAATCCCAATGACCCAGGACCCACAAGAATAATATTCACAATCCACTTTTTTGGGGTAGTGGTGGGTACAGGGGATTGAACTCAGGGCACTCAACCACTGAGCCACATCCCCAGCCCTAGTTTGTAATTTTTTTTTTTTTTAGGTGTTGATGGATCTTTATTCATTTATTCATACGTGGTGCTGAGAATTGAACCTAGTGCCTCACATATGCTAGGCAGGTGCTCTACCACTGAGCCAAACCCAGCCCCCTACTTTGTATTTGAAACAKGGTTGCATTGAGTTGCTTAGCCCCTCATTTTTGCTGAGGCTGGCTTTGAACATGCCATYCTCCTGTCTCAGTCTCCCCAGCTGCTAGGATTATGGGCATGTGCCACCAAATCCAGTAGTCAGTGGGTTTTAATAGTCACAGGAAACCAATGCTAATGCAATGTGTGTCCCTCAGCAGGTCTGTTTTGGGTGCTGGTTAATGCCTACTTAGTATAGGACACCCTCCAAGCCGTGGGCAGACTGGTCTCTCTTCCTGGCATGCCCTCATCCCAGCCTGCATTCCTACCATCTCCCTTCAGCATTAAGCTCAAATATCCCTTCCTCCATGGAGCTCTCCTGACTTGACAGAATACTTCCTCTCATGTCAGCACATGAGAATACTTCCTCTCATGTGCTGACAATATCAGACACACAGACTATGTCACCCATACCACAAAGCAGTGTAATTGTGTGTACTGTCTCCCTATTACAGACCTTGAAGGTAGGACCGTGTCTCATTTGTGTGTTTGGATGCAAGCAATGTACCTGGGCTCACAGGCGCGGTGAGATATAGACTGGATGCAACGATGAGGGCGGGGCCTCCCTGATGGGAAAACCTAGGCATCCCTTCCCCGTCACCTTCCTCACCATGTCCAGGAGGATGTCCACTTTCAGCCGCAAGAGATTGTTCTCTTCCTCCAACTGCTGGTTCCGCCTGCGGAGGCGCTGAGCCTCCCTCCGGTCCACACCTGCACTGATCCCTGTCTCTGGCAGAAGGACAGAACCCGCAGTTAAAAGGGAGGTTTCCTTCTACAATCTTGTTTGAAAAAAATGTCAGGAAACAGCCCACCTGTTATCCAATGGCCATTTTCAAACTTCAGGCTTTGCCCCGTCAGGTTCATAGTGGGGGTTCCATAGTCGAGGCCCAGCTCCACCTCCCTGGTTGAACGATCCAACTGTGGGTGAGAGACCACACATGGGCTTCAGGAAGCCGCAAAACAGCACCCTCATCCCAGTTCTTCCACTAATTCCAGACTAACAATCTGTTTCTGTCCTCTAATCATTACCTGCCACCTTTAATAATTTTTTAAAGRCCCAAAAATCAAATGATGTATAACAAAAAGATTAACTATAAAAGAGAAATGTCCTGCTTTAAACATGGGACATTTCCCCAAAAAGCTACATATGCTGAAATTTGTATATTAAATTATTTTACACCTAACAGCTTAAGGAATATACTCTTTTTTCTCCTGCAGGGCTGCAGGTTGACCTCAGGGTCTTGCATATATCAGGGAAGCACTCTACCACTGAGCTATGTCCGCAGCTACAGAAACGAATTCCACTGTAAATTTTTAATAAAATATTCTTTTCAAAATGTATTATAAATTATCATTTGCTTAATATGGAGCTACATACATCACAGAAAAAGCATAAAATTGTAAAACCCAATTAATATTAGCAGAAGCCATGTAAGCAGGCTGCTGCTTTTACCATGTGGCCAGGATGTGGGATGTCCCAGGTGCACTGCATCTTTGACAAAGAGGATTGGGAAGCTCATGGCTTGTAGGCATCAGGAACAGATCCCAGAATGCCTAGCCCTGGTCACAGAGGGGCTCCCCTAGTCTGATTTTAATTGGGGCAAGGAGGCAATGGATTCAAAGACCCAAAAGCTGGGCGAAGCCTCAGCCTTAACAGCCTTGCTGCCCTACCCTACTGGCCTGGGAAGGACTGGCTACCCTGCACAATCAGTTCTGTAGGAAAAAGTCAGAGAAACTAGAATACATCATTCCTGGTGTGTTATGTCAGCTATGGCAGACAGAATTTTGATGGGGATGAACTCAGTACCTGGTCGTGGATACCAGAAGACTTCAGGAGAGATGACAATGACTGTATGCATGGGATCTATGTGTATTTATGTGCTGAGGGCAGAATAGAGACAGTAGGGAATGGAAGTAGATTTCCACATGTTCTGACTTCCTGTTATATAATTCTTTTTAAACTCAGCTTATACATTCAAATGGGTAGTATGTTACTTCAGAAAGGTATCATTTATTCCAATGACACTGTTATTGACATATTCACAGATATTTTAGAAAATCTAATTTTGACCATCACTAAGGAAATCATCATCCTTGAGATTAAATATGATGATTTCCTTGAGATTAAATTTGATTCTTAAACATGACTGATTCTAGCTGAGTCTTGGGAATAAAGTAGAAGCCAAATTGAATAGTATTGTTTGAAGCATGTCATAATGCGATTGTCTATAGAGTTGATTTTTTTTTTTTTTTTTTACTAAGGGCACTTAACCACTGAGTCACGTCCCCAGCCCTTTTTTTTTTTGTATTTTATTTAGAGACAGGGTCTCACTGAGTTGCTTAGGGCCTTGCTAAGTTGCTGAGGCTGGCTTTGAACTTGCAATCCTCCTGCCTCAGTCTCCCAAGCTGCTGGGTCTACAGGCATGCACCACCATACCTGGCTCTTTTTAGGTTCTTGAATAAACTATGACAATAATTCCCAAATAGGAGTTCAAAAATGATTTTGGCAATAGCAATAATATGAATCAAAAGGATGCCTTCCAATGATGATGCCTCCTCTGGAGGTCCATAGTCTCCACTTGGAGACCACGCTGGGCACTCCAGTTACACTGCACACCAGGCTGACCCCAGTCCCCACACTCACGGAACGTAGGTTGGAGAGGGAAGCAGATTTCCGAGGAGGTGTCTTCTTTGGACTGAATATATTCCCAAAGAGAGGCATCTCTGGCCTGATAAAGGAAAGGCCTACTCTCCCTTCTCCTAGGGTCAGAAAAAGTCAGATAGTTGGATCAGTGATTTTGCGCCACTGCTCTCATATGTCATAAAAACATATTTTCTCCCACAGCTACTAACAGCCTGGTAACAGTTCCCATGTGTTGAATGTTCTCTATGTGCCACGCAGTATGCTAAGATCTCTGCAAGAAATATTTAACTTACAACCTCCATTTGACAAGCTGCTTATCTGCCCCAATTGACAGCTGACATTTAGAAAGCTAAGGTTTGAGTGGGAGTGAGTGGTGTAAGTGGCTCTACAGTTACATTAACCACAGGCAGGTCCATCACAAGTTGACATCACCAACTATTATGGCTTGGACGGGAGGTGGATGGGTAAGACAACGCAAGAAGGTTCAGAGAAATGATTGGGTTGTGAGAACCTTGACTCAGTCAGTGGATTAATCACCTGATGGGATTAACTTGGTGGTAACTGAAAACGGGTGGGGTATGGCTGGAGGAGGTGGGGCACTGGCCTCATGGCTTTGGGGTATATATCTGTATCTGGCAAGTGGAGAGCATGCTCTATGCTTCCTGATATTTGTGTTAGCCGTGTTCCTCTGCCACACTCTTCTGCCATGATGTTCTGCTTCACCTTGAGCCCCAAGGAATGAAGCTACTATCTATGGATGGAGACCACTAAGACTGTTGGCCCCCAAATAAATTGTTATTCCTCTACAATTGTTCTGGTCGGGTCCTTTACTCACTACAGTGAAAAAGCTGACTAAAACACCAACTTCACAGTTAAGAGCAAAGAATGCCATCTCTGCTGTTCAGGTCACTGTTAAGAACTGTGTTGGGAGTAAAAATATGCTCCATTTTGAAGAAACAAGGTTATACTTATATTTCACCCCCAGGATGATAAGAGAGCCACTTGGTCCACATGGCAAAAGGTCTATGTGCCCTATATAAGGTGAGGACAAAGGAAAGAGGAAAACACAACAGGCAGAGCTGACGTTGCCACCCACCATACATCAGCTTTCAGAAGCCTTTGACCTACCTAGAACAATTCACACAGGCCCAGTGAAGTAGATTTACTGTCACCCAAGTTTGGGGGAGGAAGAGAGCAGAGGTAAATTTTTTATTTAAGTATAACATATAGATAGGTCTAAAATCATAGTGTAAAGTTTCATGAGTTTTTACTACACACACATGACCATCTTGCAGATCAGGGTACACAGCTTTCGGCACCCAGGACACATCCATCAACTTCATATCCACAAATTGCTATAGAAAGTTTCCTTTTGCACCTGGCTTTTTTTTTTTTTTTTTTGGGGGGGGGGGGGGTCTTTTTTCTTTTTTGTACCAAGGGCTGAACCCAAGGGTGCTTAACCACCAGGACACATCCCCAGCCCTTTTTATATTTTATTTTGAGACATGGTCTCATTAGGTTGCTTACACCCTTACTAAGTTGCTGCGACTGGCTTCTAACCTGCAATCCTCCTGCCTCAGCCTCCTGAGCTKCTGAGACAGGGGTGTCCCACCATGCCCAGCAGCACCTGGCTTCTTACACTCAACATCATGTTTATGAGATTTATTTACATTGTTGTACGTGTTAGTTTGTTCACTTGCATGGGTGTATATATTCTATTGCAAGAGCATATCAAAAGTTATTTGTCCATTTTATAGATGGTGGACATTTCCCATTATTTGGCTATCAAAAATAGTGCTGCTAAGAACACACTTGGGGAGCTGAGGTTGTGGCTCAGTGGTAGGGCGCTTGCTTGGCATGTGTGAGGCACTGGGGTCAATCCTCAGTACCACATAAAAATAAATAAAGGTATTGTGTCCATCTACAACTAAGAAAAATACTTTTTAAAAAAAGAACTCACTTGGATATGTACCTCCATACACCTATGAACACTTTTCTGTTTCTTTACTTCGGGGTAATATTGTTGAATATAGGTATTGGGGATTGAACCCAGAGCCCTGTGCACTGAGCTACATCCACAGTCTTTTTTTTTTTTTTTTTTTTTTTTTTGGTACTGGGGATTGAACCTAGGGCCTCATGAATCCTAGGCCAGCACTCTACCACTGAGCTATAACCCCAGCCCCACCCCCAATCCTTTTTAAAT